AGCCATGCTTCGCACAACTCATAATGATTTATTTGACCGGGAAATTAATATATATCCATCGATTGTTTGTTTCAGCTACGGCGTAAATGAAGCAAACCACCTGGACCTAGGAAAATTTACTAACGAAATCATGTTTTACTTACAGCAAGTAAACGTGGCATCATTCACACAGAAAGAATTGATAACCGTATAGTTTCAATCTTGCAGACGTCAGTCAGGTCAGAATCGTGACAAGCCTATTGGAAAATATAATGCACTGTTCTGCTTCGAGAAAACGAGTCAAAACCACCCAATTCTTTCTGAATTACGTCAGATTATCTGATCTGTAAGCACCCAGGTGGCAGTTACTGACAGGGGCACCGGGAAGGATCATCTGAGGTGAGGTGAGGTCATCAACAGTTTTTAGCCAATAAATCACGACATGATGGGGCTAAATAGTTGTTAGTGTACCAAACTGTTCGCCTGGTCATGACGCGTCGATTGGTACCCAGCGTGACCTTCCTAGGTCAGATTTTGAAGTTGACCTATCTATATAGGTCATTATAAACCATGTTATTTGTTATGACCTCTGGCGACCTCAATATTGACCTGACCCAAAAACTTGTTTACAAAAGTTGTAAGTCGTTCAACGAACTATCAAACGCCGTTGCCGTTTGTCGCTACGGTTCGTGCTTTTCGAGTTCTGACGGGGGCCAAAAAGGCCCCCGCCTGATTCAGAGTCTTTCAGAGCCCGCCCGGAATACGGTTAACCCGCGCCCCACTGGGGGGGGCTATTTATAGCCCCCCCTCCCGTTTTTCTGCAATAACTTCCAAACCGCTTGACGTATCGACGCTAAACTTTCAGTACCTTCGGCCGCATCAATTTGACACCTTGTGTCAAAATTTCAACTTCGTAGCTACCATAGGTCGGCCGGAAATGACGTCAGAGTGACGTCATGTTCGGCCGATTTCGACGCAAAACATTGAACCACGGCAATCGCTCCCAAGGGCTCATTTTTTAAGCTAGATCCAATTTCTTTGCATGAGAGGACTCAGAATAGACTGCGCTATCAAACTGCTATCTCGGATTTTCGAAATTTTGAAAATTTTGAAAATTTTTATAAAATAAAATTCAAAATTTACATTTTTACATTTTTTTCAAACAGTTTTTGACTTTTCGGAAAAACCGGAATATATGTGATAGAACGCGTTATTATGACTAACTCTAGCAAGTTTTAGCTAGATATCTTCAAAAATGGCCAAGTTATACGCATTATTGCAAAAAATTCACGATAATTAATTTTTCAAATCAATTTTTCAGCACGTATTTGACATCGTACGCCAATATAAATAGCACCATCGTGTTCCTGAGCTCAAACTGCATCCAATAGACACCTTTTCTGTTAAAAAATTCTAGCTTCAAAATTTGACCTTTTTTGACCTGAAAGTGACCTGACCTAAGCTAATTTCGACTCAAAATGACCTCGAATGACACAGACGACATCAAATTCGAAATCTTTGGCCTAAATGGACCATAAAACATGCGTCACGTGACCGACGCATGATATAATATTTTCGTGACCTGTGATGACCTGACCTTGACCTGAAAATCAAAATACAAGTTTGGTACCCTCAGGGCATCTAGAGCATTTGTTCACGAGTGTGTGAACCAAAAATGAGCCTGATCTGACTTGTAAGACGGCGGCCAGAGCCCAAAACGTGAAGAAGCCAAAATGCTTATAAATTTTACTTTGACCTGACCTGTGACGTCATCGGTGACCTCGAGGTCAATGAAATTAGGTTTCGCTCGACAGTTTTTCCGGGGCTATCAGACGCCGTTTGAATTTTGACGATCGGCCCAGTAGTTTCGGAGTTAGGAGGGGGGGCTATGAATAGCCCCCCCCCCCCCCAGTAGGGCGTGTTATACGCAGACCCCAGTGGGGCGCGGGTTAAGCGCTTGAACGATATATGCTAATACACCAAGTGTTACTCTGACCGTCATCCAGTATCCACCCATTCCTCGCAGATCCTCCCCCTCCTGCTGCGGTCCGGCCGCCACCGCCGCCGCCGCTCGAGTTTTTTTTTTTTTTGCCAGTTACCATGCCACTCGGTGACTTGTGATATTCGTATGTTTCTTACCGCTGCAGCGGTAAGAAACATACCAGTGCGCTGGCCATATGAAATCTGAACAAAAGTGAATGCATTATGTTGTATGTAATTATGCAGGCATGAGACCCTCTGTAGAAAGGAGGCCCCTTTAGGGAGGAGGCCCTCTGTAGAAAGGAGGCCCCCGGGACTCCTTCGCCCCTCCCTTGGCCAAATCCTAGCTACGTGCCTGACGCAGGGGCATCTGGCGCCATTCATGCTGCCTCCGAACACGGTGATTGGTTTGCTGCAGAGTCACGTGGTTGGGGCATCAGTGGCGTAATCAGGAATTTAGTTACCAATCTCACCAACAGATGGCTCTGACCGACGATTTTTAAATAGGAGTGATCTAAAGGTAGGTGACATAATACGAGCTTACAGCTGCAATGATGATGGCACATGTAGGCTACATTCCAAGTTTCATGATAATCTGACAAATGGTTCCCAATATACAGATGCAAACTCTAACCACTACGGATACCCCACATTACTTCAGCGGTGACCTGTACGTCAGACACGTACCCAGGATTTCGCCCAAGAGGGGGTCACCTGCTGGTCACCTGACCCCGGGCCCGCGAGTCACCCGGGGGCCCGGTGTCAGCCCAGGCAGGGACGTATCCACTATCCAGGACCTAATTCAATCGGGGGGGGAGGCACGGTGGGTCCGGTCCGACTGGCTGACGGACCTCTTTATATTGGTCTTTGCCCGGAGAAAATGTTGAAAATTGGTAAGTAAAAATATAATTTATCCCCGAGGAGTGTGCCTATAATGTGCATGGTATTTTACGAGCGAGCGAAGCGAGCGAACTCCTCAGAGTCACCGGTGTGTGGCGCGCTCAGGGGTGCCGGTAAAACTTGAAAGGCCGTCAGATGCGCTGGTGTTGGGTCCTCACAGGCGCCGTTGTGGGGACTCTGATAAGCAGGGGCCCCTTAAATAAACAGGGCCCCCTCAGTAAACGGGGGCCACTCAGGTAACTGCAGGAGTCCCTCAGATAACCAGGGGCCGGCAAGGTCTCTCAGGTCCGTTTTGACAAGGCTGTTATTTTCGTCAGGTCTGAGCCCTTTGCCACGAGTAGAGGGCCTTTCAAGCCTTTTGAGGGCCGTTTAAAGTCTCTTGAGTTCCCTTTGAGGCCTTCTAAGGGCCTTTTGAGCAGTCGAGGGGTTGAGGGGCTCTTGACGTCAGCTGAGGACCGTTGGACGCCAGCTGAGGACCGTTTGGGGCCTTCTGATGGCCATTAGACGCCGACTGAGGGCCCTCTGACACCAACTGGGGGCCCTCTGACGCTAGCTCAGGGCCCTTTGACGTCCTTTAAGGCCATCTGAGGTACGTTTCACGTTAGCTGAGTGCCCTTTGAGGCCATCTGAGGACCCTTTGAGGCCATCTGGGGGCCCTTTGACACCAGATGAGGGCCATTTGACGCTAACTGATAGCCCTTCGTGACCATCTGAGGACCCTGTGACGACATCCGAGGGCCCTTTGAGGCCTTTTGAGGGCCATTGAAATTTAACCACAATCACCCTGGCTGCGCTACTGGGCATTTTATGGACTCATATGGGCCTGCTGGGGAACGAGATGGGCCCTCCCGGTCTTTTCAATCATTATTCATCTAATTTGTACACGGTCTTCGACGGTCTAAGGATTAGGGGCCCCCAACTCGAATGAGGGGGGGGGGGGGCACGGGCCCGTGTGTCCCCCCCTTGTGTGCGCCCTTGGGACGGTAGCAATGGAAGCAGCAACGGTAGCGACGGCAGCGATGGTAGCGACGGTAGTGAGGTTGGGGAGTGTGAATGAAGGCTGCGGCAGGGACAGAAATGGCGTCAGATTCATTGACTAGCTGAGAAGGCGACAATAACTGAACAGCTACGTAGAAGTAGCGACGGCGGCGGCGGGCTGTGACGGGATGGCAGCCACGCGTGGGCGTATTATCAGGCGGGCGCCGTTAATCTGGTGACTGATAAACCGAACAGTCTCGAACAGGTTACGGAGCTCCGGAAGCAGCATGCTGATACGGGCCATGAACGTTTGAGAGTGACTTAGGGCGACCCGTATGCTTTGCACGATGAGGCCATAGTCAATAGGCTAGCGTAGTCAACTGATTTGTCATGTTGGAAATGAGTGAGGGTAGTTGGGATATTCATTTTCATGGCCGTGGAAACCTAAAGGGTTTATGACCCCTTTTACCAATTTAAGAAGTTCCAAATGCGCTAAAATTGGCAATTTTATAGCAGCTTCTGATCTTTTTCTTGCTCCAACATTTTTCCCGAGTGGGGCCTGGACATTAGTCTGATTGAGCACGTGATAGTGATACTTTTCTCGCCACACGAGCCACTGACATTAAAAACTCCTTTCACCTTTTCCTTGTCGGGTCCATAAACATTTCTCAGTGTCGGCCGTCCATTCATTGCAGGCGGCTCCGTCGTTCGCGTGACTTGCCAGACGCCGACCGTGGCGCCATTTGAATGGCTGTGTAGTGTGTAAGCCGGCGCGGCGGCGCGGCGGCCGTTGGACCGGCGCCGGCGTTGGAGGCGGCGCCTTTCCTCGTGCAGTGCACAGCGCGGCTGCAGGGAGAACGGGGTCGGGTCGGCTTTCCACTTTGGCGACCCAGGCGCGAAACCAGTTATCAGATGGCCTGAGGCAGTTAAGACTGCGGTCGCTGCCGCTCTTCCCTGCTGTCGATGCGTCGTGAGGCTGTCACAGTGAACTTCAGCTATATCTGCTATGTCGGACGTCTACTGCTATGGTCGCCGGCTGTCTTAGCTGCCAGTTACTTATTGTTTCTCCTATCAGGGTGGGGTAAGTCCGGTCTGTAGTCCCTCGAGGAGTTTCTTATGGCGAAGGCAGCAGGTGTCTGAGTCCGCCACCAGTCCGCCGTCCCTCAGTCGCTGACTGTCTCGCTCACGTTCGCCAGTAGCTCGACCTGTTCACGCGGTCCTACCTCAGTAACTCCATCGGCTCGGCTGTCCCCATCGACCCCACCTGGGCCGCAGCGTCGGGCAGCCAACAGGTTTGTTATCAGCCCTACTGCCATCCGCCCGAGGGTCCACATATCAGCGCAGACATATGACTGTACGCGGTCACAGCTCACCGGCTGACGGTGCAGCGGCCGCTCAGAAATAGCCAGATTAGCACCGCACGCGCTGCGCTCCGCGCGGGGAGAGGTGGTGTGGCTATCGACACGCACCGAGCGGCCTGACGAGGAGTGTAATGGAGTGTCGATAAGCGTGAAATATATGACCGCCCGTGGTGGCGGTGGATTCCAGCCCCGCGCCGTGGCTGACGGCCGCTGTCAATCACCGGGGTCTGCCAGCACGTCCTGTGCTCCTCCTGTCCCCACGCCATATCTCGGGATCACCTGTGCTGCTCCTGTCCCCAACGTCCCATCCGGGGTCACCTGTGCTGCTCCTGTCCCCAACGTCCCATCCCGGGGTCACCTGTGCTGCTCCTGTCCCCACGCCATATCTCTGGATCACCTGTGCTCCTCCTGTCCCCACGCCATATCTCGGGATCACCTGTGCTGCTCCTGTCCCCAATGTCCCATCCGGGGTCACCTGTGCTGCTCCTGTCCCCAACGTCCCATCCCGGGGTCACCTGTTCTTTATTTGCCCGGAATATCCCGGACTGCTTTCGTCATCCGCTGCTGCACCCCTTCCCGTCCTGGCCTGCCGCTCACCCGGCTTGATCCCGCACCACCACAATCTTCTCAATCCGCCATTCATCATCCGTGCCTTTCACGTCTCCCCTTCGTCTCCCTGTCCTGTGTTACCCCTCCGCTCCGCACCCTCAGCCTGGTTCGATCCCCTCCGCTCCCTGCTGGCTGCTCCCCTGTGCGTCCGCCGGTCCGACTGGCCGTCGATTGCCGATTATCTCCGATCTACCGACGGTGCGGATCCGACTCTGGGGTGGATGACAGGGCCCCAGCTCAGGGGTGAGCTGGGGCAGTCCCGCCCTGTCGCCCCGCTGTCCTTTCGGTGACTGACCGCAGGAACAGTGACCGGAGATGTGAGTTAGGGGTGGAGAGCCTGCCGAACCAGCAGTGGAGCTGATCACGACTGAGGAGTTATGAAGGGTAGATGAGCTGGAAACGAATATGTTGGCCTCTAGGGAGAAGGTCTGGTGGAGTCGAATTACGAAGAGTTGGACTGGAGGGACGTTTGTTTGGAAGGGAAGAGTGATTGTCAACTGAGCCTGCTTTGACAGTTGGGTGCGAGAATCGGGGAACAGAAAATAGATTGGACACTTGGACAGGAATTAGAAAACATGGTGAAGATGCTTAATTGGATGGGAATGTGGGGGAGAAAGCGGGGAGTATTGAGTTCGCTGATGTTTGGCTCATATCAGGCCGGTGCATAGCGGTGACCGATCCCAACTCATCGAGGACGTTATTTCTTTGATCGCCGTCATTCCATCAGTATTAGCGTCTTAGGTGGCGGCGAGCTGCGTGCGTCTCGCCGGCTTTCCCATGTTATCCATCCTCATCCCACCTAGCACGTCGCTAAGCCCAATTATCCGCTGCTTTCGGAGCGTCGCGGACCATACCGGCACCGTTACCTGGTCGGTAAGCCTGGTCGGCTTACTGGCGCCGGCTGAGCCGCGTCGTGGACGACATGGAACTCACACGGAGAGCAGAGGTGCAAAACACGTCAGTCACTGTCAGCTGACTCGGGATGGTTACCTGTGTGACACATTTCACGCCGACGGCTGGCTTTGAACAACCGGAATAATTAGTTTTTGGAGGTTACTTAATTATAAAAGGAAAACATTCAGTGGCGCCGCTTCCCATACGGATGTGTTGCATTTCATACATTTTATTTGTTTGATTGAGACTGAGCCAGGCCATTCTTCCCTCTACTCGTTTCTCCCTGTAACATAGTCCAGCGACATCCCCTCCAATATGCTCCCAGGGCTTCTGTTTTACTCTCGGATGGGGCTGGGTAACCCTCCCCCCCCCCCCCCCCCGAGATCCGGTTGGGAGCTGCGGCAGCGGGCCGTCAGTAGCCGGCTCTGTTTAGCTCTGATTATTCAACAGGTGGCCGGAGAGCTGCGAAACTCCCCGGTCTGTTCAACAGTCCGCGTTTAGAGCCGTCCCCCCCCCCCCTCATCCCCCGGTGTGGGGCGGGGCGCGGGGAGGTGGTGAGGCGCCTGACTCGGAAAGGCTATTTTAGACGGCTGCTGCAATCGGACTATTTTCGGTGCGATCTGGGGCACCTTGTGAGGCTGATAATAGGATCAAGGGGATGACAGTGCAGTGCAGTTTTGACCTATCTTGTGCGAGGGCGGTTTGCTGGGAATAGCTTGAGTTTGGTCGTCATCGTCACTGGAAATGGAGACGACGGTGGTAATTTGCAAGTTTTTGTTATTCTTATGGGATAAATTGTTGAAAGGTGTAGATGTATTTTTGAATAGGTTACCCGTTCTGGTAATATTTGTATAATGCAAGATTTCCGATGGCCCAGAAGGAGTAGGTATTTACGGGTCGAGCCCCATTTCTCCATGCAACATTTCTTGGCTTGCATGCCTGTTCGTCAGTTTGTTGTGGTCACTTTCCGTCAGTTGTTGTCAGTCTCTGTCTAAACTGATTATTGCCGCTCTATCGTATCTGCCTACAGCAGCCACTGCTCATCTCTCCGTCTTCACCGGTGGACACGTCTCCGTCACGTCTCCGTCACGTCTCCCATCGCGCCGATGGACACTACTCATTCCAGAGTGTCCCGCCGGTGGCGGTCATATATCCCGCCGTCTCGTACCGATGACCCCACGTCTCCCAGCGGGCGGCTGTCACATATCCCACACATCCGACCGGTACGGTGGACGTCCTATATCCCCGCGCTCCGCCCCTGCTCGGACTGACGTGTCACCGGGGATCGCCGTCGGCCGATTGGTGATCGTTCGCGGAGGTCACCGGTGCGGGCCGATCGCTCCCCAGCTCTGTGTCTGTCCCAGTGGGTCCTCTGTCCTCACGGCTCTGGGATCAGTACTCGTAGGGGCCAGCGCTGCAACTACCTTGCAGAGACTTGCATAATATATGTAGAGTCAGGTACCGGTAACTCTGCAGCACAATGCTGAGGTTAAGCAGATAGTTATGGCAAAGAACGCTACATATAGCGGTGGTGGTGGTCTCAGAAACTCTGGTGGCTGCGATCCTGGGAAGAGGATAGGTAAACGATTTCTTGATTAAACTTGTCTGGGAATTATGTTGTATGTATGTATGTGTGGGTTCCAACATGCAGTTGGCTCTTACTCCCACAGAGTCATACATTGTCACAATCATCCACAGACATGGTCAATGTCATGAGAAAAGCAAATAAGTGCACTGTAGTTGAAGAAAATAGTTTTATGCCCGGAACGTTTATTGCACCGGTAGCAGGTAGCAAGACCTCCCGCCACCGATGCCGCCAGCCAACTGACTCCCCCGTCCAGCCATCCATCCAGCACACCCCTGCCCTGCTTAGTCATCGGTTACGCGATACTCATCCGGCTCATCGCAGTCGACACGGCCCCGATGAACAATGGCCAGGCTCTGGTGGCGAGCAGTGCAGTTGCATCAGCCGCCCGGCGCCTCGGGGCACGACCCATCCTGACACGCCACATCCGACTACACTTCCCCCTGATCTTTCAAGATCATGGCACTATCATCCGACACCTCAGACGACCGCTCCTCAACCGCCCGTAACCACGCTCTCCAGTCGGCATGCGCGCGTTCGCGTATCCGTTCGCTTCGGCGCACCGATGTGGCACGCACCGGCCCTACCGGCCACACTGTCCCTACAGGGACGTCATCACCGCCCGCAATACGTTCCACCCCATACGATCGCCAGTATTCACACATGTTTGGATTCGCAGGCGACGGAACCGGCGCGTCGTCCCGGTAGAACGTCTCGGGTAAAGACGTCCCGCTCTGACTACACTGAGTCGACGCGTCCTCGTCCGGTGGTGGCGTTGGCGTCGTGGGCGGTGGAGACACGCACTGCTGCTCCACAGCCGGCTGCGCCGTCTCGAGCTGGGGCTGCGCAGGCCGGACCACGTCGGTGAAGTCGTCCCCTTCATCACCTGCCGGCGACGGTGGAGCGCCGCCGGCGGCCACGCCGGGGTAACGGCGGCGCACATCCCGCACGTGCCATGGCATGCTATCCACGGCAACGAGCGGGGCTGGTAGCTGCGCCGTCACCACACCGGGGCGCGACCGGTCTATGCATGGGGTCCGGCCACGGACGCGCACCCAGACGGGTTCCCCGACCTGCAGCGGGCCGGTCCGCGGTGGCTCGAATGGCCGATCATTCCCAGAATCCAGTGACAGTGGCAGGTCACGGCCGGGTCGCTTGAACCGGCGGGCTGCCGGAGCGGAGTCGGCGTCCTCGCGGCTGCGCGGCACATGGTTGTATCGATGGACAGCTTCTGCCACCGAGCAGCCCGACCGTGCCACCATCACCTTGATGGTACGGTGCATTCGCTCCACGATACCGTTGCCGCCGGCCTCGTACACCGCTCGGAATCGGAGTTGAATATCCCACCTGGCGGTCAGTGCCGCCATCGTTCCGCCTCGGAACTCCGTCGCGTTGTCCAGTAGTATCTCCCGCGGCGCGCCATGCTCGAGGAACACCGCCTCCAGCGCCGTGCACACGTTTTGCGCCGTGGCCCGCTCCAGATGCTTCCAGAGCGCGAAACGTGAGGGCCCACAGTCGATCACCGTCAGGAACTTAGCATCTCTCACGTGCACCACGTCCACCGCCAACCTGTCCCAGTCCCGGGACACCTCCAGGCGGTCACGCTGCCACCGCACTGGCGCCGGGTCATGTGCTTAGCACACATCGCACCCCGTCACCACGTCCCTCGCGACCGCCCGACGCACGCGCTTATCCAGCGCCCGCCTCGCGTGCCACAACGTCCGTCTCACGCCCGGGTGTCCCGCGCTTTCGTGCACAGCACGAACCTGCACCCCGTCCGCTTCGCCCCGCGGATCTACGACGGCCGCCACAGTCGGACCATGCTCCTCGGTTCCTACCGCCTCGTCTGCTGCGGACGCCTCACGCAGCCAGGACTGTGGCACGCGGGTCAGCTCGTCCGCCGGGTTGTCCGCAGAGCGGACCAACTTGACAGTCATCGACAGGTGATACTCAAGTACCAGCTGCCGGATGACGTCAATTCGCCGACGGATGAGCATCTCCCCGTGCGCCTTTGTTCTCAGCCGCGACCGGCCGCTCAGAGCGTCGTCAATCCACTTGGCCACGGTGGCCGAATCGGTGCGGAGCTCGATGGTAGTCGCTCCCCACGCAATAGCTAGATTGACGCCGCTCAGAGCAGCATCCAGCTCCGCCATGTTGATGTGTAGCGCGGCCTGTGCTTCAGGGCGCAGCCAGCTGCCGTCCTCAATGATACCGCCACTGGTGGCGTCCATGAGAACCACGCCACCGGCTAGGGAGCTAGCGTCCGTACAGACGACCAGACTCTCGCCCGTCACACACCACGGTCCGGTCGCCGGGTCGGCCAACTTGATCCGCGCGGCCACCTGACCCACGTGGCTGCACAACACCGTGTCCGTTATCGGCAGGGCTGCGGAGTCGATGGATTTTCGGCGACTCCGACTCCGACTCCGACTCCTGCTTTCAAAAACCAGCTCCGACTCCGACTCCGACTCCGGGCAGAATTGTCGACTCCGACCGACTCCAACTCCCGACTCCGACTCCGCAGACCTAGCAGGGCTGCGGAGTCGACAGATTTTCGGTGACTCCGACTCCGACTCCGGCTCGGGTTTCTAAAATCTACTCCAACTCCGACTCCGACTCCGGTCACAACTGTCGACTCCGACCGACTCCGACTCCGACTCTGACTCCGACTCCGCAGCCCTGGTTATCGGGTCGTCCCACCCTACAGACACGGCGTTGGCACGCCGCTTAAGCCAGGCCACAGCCGGTCGTAGCCAGCCGGCCACCGGCACGTGTGACACGAGCTGCCCGCACCAAGCGAACACGGCTCGACGTGTCAACACGGTCGGTGGCTCCGGCACCGGTCCGTCGCGTCTCCACACCAACCTGCCGGTGCTGGAATTCGCGTCCACACGAAGCCCCAGGAACCGAGCTCCGTCCGCCGCGCGCACTGGCGGCTTGCACTCCAGACCGTAACGCGTGAAGTGGTCCACTACGCGTTCGGCGCTGATGATCGACTCATCCACCAGCAGGTCGTCCACGTAGGGCACCACTGCACGCGCCACGTTCGCATCCCGACTTAACACCGCCTGGACCACGGCCTTCATCACCGAAGGTGCTACATTCAGGCCGAAACCAACGCGGGTCAAGCAGTAGCGCTGCCCCCCGATCTCCACCGTCTGATAGGGCCACAGGTGCTCCGACAACCGTAGCTGCAAATAGGCCTTGCGCAGGTCCACCGCTGCCACCCGCGAGCCGTGGCGCCGCCAGCGACGAAGCTGGGTGGCGCACACGTCCGCGTCAGCGGTGTGGGCCGACACGTACCCATTGAGCTCCCGGTAGTCGAGCACAGGCCGCACCTTGCCCTGGTGCGGTTGCGGCACAGCCATCAGCGGGATGAGACCGCGGGCTGCTCCGCGAGATGCCGCGTCGTACGGCACCAGCCAACCCTCTCTGATCCAGAGGGCCAGCTCCGCCTCGTACTCCGCGCGCGCAGCCGCCGGCACCGCATACTGTGGCGTCGTATTCCTCAACCGGGCCGGACCCACCCCGTCCGCCCACTTCCACTCGACCGTCCATACCTGTCCATCAAAATGTGCCTCAAAATCAGCGGCGGTCACCGTCATCTCCGCCGGACGGTCCACTACCCTCGCCGCTACCGCTGCACACACCGCCACTTCCCCCGTGGCGCCCACCTGCACGCCGCCCAGGGCACGCACACCTGTCATCCCCCACACAACGTCGAAGCCCAACGGTCTCGCCGGCACCACCAGTGCGGGGAGCGTTACTCGCCGCCCCTGGTAGGTCACCGTCAGCGCCGTCTCGCCGACGCACGGCATCGCGCTGCCGTTGGCCACTCGCAGGGACGTCGTCTGCGTTGCTTGGTACTGACCGCAGCACGCGCGGCACACCAGCACATCGGTACAGCCGGTGTCCACCAGTACCCGGCGCGTAACGCCGTCGATGTTCATCTCCACCGTCGGCAGCGCGCTCACATGCCTGGAGACGGCGCTGGCGCTGACGCCGCTCCGGTGTCGTTTCCCGCCGGTGGTGCTCGTCGGGGACACGCCGCGGCGAGGTGGCCCACCTGGCCGCACGTCCAGCAGCGGCGTCGCGGGGCCGTAGCCGGACGTCGTTCCACGGCGGCCGTGATCGGCGTTAACACCGCGCCTCCACGCTCATCACTCATGACGGCACGCACTCGCTTCAGCACGCCGTCGAGGGTGAGCGCTTCGGCGCGGGTCCCGGCACGAATTGTAGTCCGCACGGAGCTGGGCAATCCCGCGATGAAGGCACACGTCAGCGCCGCGTCGGGCACACCCCCGTACAGCGATGCGAGTCGACGCAGATCAGCCAGGTACACGTCCACCGGTTCGCCAGGGCGTAGCTTACGTGCCGCGTAGGCGTCGTACGCTGCCAGCTGGTCCATGGCGAAGGCGTCGTACAGAGCATCTCGAACCTGCACCGTAGAGCGGCGGGCGTCTTCCGGTAGCTGCAGCCAGACTGCAAATGCCCCGCCGGTCAGCCGGGCAGGCAGAATAGCTGGTAGGTCGGCTCCCCGATGTCGGCACAGCACCTCTGCCCTGGTGAACCATTCCACCACGTCGGTCGTTCCGTCATACTCTGGAATCAGTCTCGCGTCGAATGATCCGCCGCCAGGTCCGACGGCCGCGGCGACGGTCGTCTCCACCGGTTCACCAACACCACTCCCCGTCCCGGGCATCGCGGGGTCACAAAAGAGAAGGCCGAAATAGCTTGTAGTTGAAGAAAATAGTTTTATGCCCGGAACGTTTATTGCACCGGTAGCAGGTAGCAAGACCTCCCGCCACCGATGCCGCCAGCCAACTGACTCCCCCGTCCAGCCATCCATCCAGCACACCCCTGCCCTGCTTAGTCATCGGTTACGCGATACTCATCCGGCTCATCGCAGTCGACACGGCCCCGATGAACAATGGCCAGGCTCTGGTGGCGAGCAGTGCAGTTGCATCAGCCGCCCGGCGCCTCGGGGCGCGACCCATCCTGACACGCCACATCCGACTACATGCACACTGTCAAAAACACTACTGTTAAAATGCATCGGGCTCCAGGTAAAAGCTATAAAGATTAAAGGCATCGCTCAGCGCTAGACAGATAAAAATATAAGTGTTGGCACGAGTGGCAGCTCGCCATCTACGGCGGAGAGACGAGGAAGGCCGTGACACCGCTCGTGAACGCCCTCCTGCCCGTCACACGGCGCAGCTCAGCAGGGAGCTCGTTCCACTCCCGGATCGGCCGGACCGGTACGGAACGGCGAGTTGCTTCCAGCCTACAGCGGCGAGTGTGGAGGACTGCGCTGCCTGACGCGCGGGTCTCTCGCTCTGAGTTGTCAGCCCGATGCTGGACCAGTGATTTGAGGGTTGCGGGGGCCTGTTCACTGTTCAGCAGTCGGTGAACGAGGAGACAATCCCTCTCTCGAACCACCTGCTCAAATGACAGCCAGCCGAGCTGCCGGCGCGTATCCGAGATGTGGTCGTGTTTACGTTTTCCCGACACAACCCGGGCGGCGAAGCTTATGACCCTGTCGATACGTTGGCGCATCGCTACCGTGGGGGGAGCCCAGGCCGGTAAGCAATACACCAGATGAGGGAAGACGAGCGCCTGTACGAGTGTTTTGAGGGTTGCTTTTGGCAGAGTTTGACTCAGCTTTTTCAAGGTGACCAATATGCCGAAGCAGCGCCGCACGACCGCAGCCGCATGCTTCTCCATGGTCAGATTTTGATCAAGAAGGACTCCCAAAAATCGAATCGTCCTGCTGGTGTCAAAGAGACGTTTCCGAAGTTCACACTGAAATTTGAAGCTTTTTTGGTGACCGGAAGTGTTCCAAATAATGACATTTCAGTTTCGCTCGGGTTGACTTTGAGCCCGTTGTTTTTGAACCAGGTGGCGAGGCTGGCCAAATCGCCTTCCACACTGGCTTTGAGCGCTGTCAGTCCCTCATCTGATGGAGGCGCACTGTGCAATTTTAGACCAATAAGCGTTCTAAGTGTGGTAGGAAAACTGGCCGAAAAAGTTGTGAGTTTCCTCACGTTCTTCACGGTCCATCAGTTACAGCTTTGCCGTCTCCGTGTTTTCATCCGTCTTGGTCTCCGTCTTCATCTCCAGTCCTCAGCTGGCATCTCGACTCGGGTAACTGGGGTAGGAGCTAGGACCGGGCGGTGCAGCGTCGCCCTTTGTCCCGCTCCTCTGTTCCACGAACCGCCCGTCGTCGGCGACGCGTCGGCGAACCGTCGGCGACGCGTCGGCGAACCGTCGACACACAGGCGTCGCCCCCGACGATCGGAGGGGACGCGTCGTTTCCGGCCCAAGATGACAGCGTCGGGCGCGTCATTCGGCCGTAACTCGGGGGAGGCACCCCGCGGCCGCGGTCGTGTCGAGTGGTAGTCTATGCTTTATGATGCGAACTCTGAGTGATGAGGGTCTTTACCCGGCGGTGAGTGGATTAATTCACGTGATTGGACCTTGTTTACTACGATGTTGTTGTTGGTGTCTGATGACGGGGTTGTCGTTTGGGGTAAATGGGCAGTTCGTAGCTGCGGGGCGTAGTTGGCTGTATGAGACGGCCCATGTTAGCTGTCATTGACCTTCCGTTTCGTCAGTGTGTGGCGCGGAAGCCGCGATACGACATGAGTTTGGGAACTGATTTATTGCCGTCCGTTTTGCCACGTGACAGAGGCGGTCGGACGGGAAATATCAGTGCGATGCCGTCCGTTTTGACACGTGGTAAGGAGCGGCCGACGGAAAATATCGGTGTCATGTGGTCGAATTTTCAATGGGTTTGTGACCACAGCCGGCGGGAGCTTATCGGATCACTGTTGAAAGAGCTATCACACGGAAGGGGGCTGGTGGCTGGGGAGGGGAAGCCGAGCGACGCTGTACGGTGTGCTGACTGGGTGTAGAAATAAAGATAAACCGAAGTAGTGCGGCGACGCGACGGTCGGTATAGGTTAGGTCTCAAAGAGCCCACCTCCGAAGGCGGGCACTGAGCTAGCCATCTTGTGCTGAGTATCATGGCCTGTCTGGTCACCGGAAGTATGAATCAGTTGGCTTATCAATGTCAGTGGCTCGTGCGCCATGTGGGTTTTGGATTAATTTGCATCTTGTAAACTTCAATCTGCGTTGAGAGGAGAATATGTACTTTGATAAGTGGTCACTGCATATTTGAACACATGATTAAAGAGCTTTTCTTTGAAGATTCTGCCCTTTTTTACTTCTCTGCATAGGTATATAATCGGTGTTTCTCGATATCTTTGTGCTGGGGCCTGGGTGCCTGGTAGCTTTTAAAGTGACTTTGTTTTTTGTATGACACGCCACAGATGATGCAGTCTGCTTCTGCGGATGATAAATGTTGAAATGATTGTGTGGTTGCATAGGCGCAAAACATTGCTACTGTCATTATGATAGCTAGATTTCTAGTCAATAAGGGGAGAACTATGCGCGTTGAAAATTTACATACCTTGTGGAATTCATATTTTATTGTTCGTGGATATCCGGGATATCAGATATTCATGCAAGTGTATTTTATATCTACACACTTTGTGCCAATAAGGGAAACTATGTAAGGTAGGTATTGCAATACGAAAGTGTACCAGAATTTATTTGCATGCGCTGTTTTATTGCATGATTGTTGTCGGGTTCATACATGGGCAGTGGGCACATGCTTAAAATATTTAGTCATTGGAATCATTTTCAGTCCTTTATCTCCGCACTGTTACCATGCATTTGCATAACTCGTAAAATGAGCACAATTTTATGTGCGATCAAATACCATCGATTGTATTTGACAGACGGGCTGAGACATTCTTTTTATTTTAAAATGTTGCTCTGCATATCCCGTCCGCCTTCCGATAACGGCAGCACACCTTAGTGGTTGCTAGGCGGGCTCATGCTTTTTATTTTTCAGTGCATCAGTTCGGTGTACTGAGAGGATCTGAGAATCTGAAGTGTGTCAATGCTGGATAGACAGCCTGCCCCCATCTCTCTCTCTCTCTCTCTCTCTCTCTCTCTCTCTCTCTCTCTCTCTCTCTCTCTCTCTCTCTCTCTCTCTCTCTCTCTCTCTCTCTCCCTCTCCCTCTCCCTCTCCCTCTCCCTCTCCCTCTCCCTCTCCCTCTCCCTCTCCCTCTCCCTCTCCCTCTCCCTCTCCCTCTCCCTCTCTCTCCCTCTCCCTCTCCCTCTCCCTCTCCCTCTCCCTCTCCCTCTTCCTCTCCCTCTCCCTCTCCCTCTCCCTCTCCCTCTCTCTCTCTCTCTCTCTCTCTCTCTCTCTCTCTCTCTCTCTCTCTCTCTCTCTCCCTCTCCTTCCCTCCGTACAACCGACCGCCAATGGGTCCCTCTCCCTCTCCCTCTTCCTCTCCCTCTCCCTCTCCCTCTCCCTCTCCCTCTCCCTCTCCCTCTCTCTCTCTCTCTCTCTCTCTCTCTCTCTCTCTCTCTCTCTCTCTCTCCCTCTCCTTCCCTCCGTACAACCGACCGCCCATGGGTACAGACAGGATCTCACGGGTCAGTGTGGCCCTGACCCGCCTTCCGCAGCTGCAGCTACTGCCGCTGTCCACCCACTCCTCCGTCACGGGCCCACGGCATTCTGAGTCACTGGGCTAAGGCCGAGCGGCGCTAACTGGTTACCGAGGTCGCCGTCGTCGCCGCGCCGGTCGCCGCGCCATGGTCGGAGTCAGAGGCCCAGGCTAGTCATGGAACTTGGAAGGAGAGGGGGCCAGTTGGCGACGAGTTTGGAGTGCAGGACACGGATGGCCGGCAAGATGACTTGGGAAGACAGTCATCCCATGCTAGACCGGGGAGAGTTTCTGGGGTAAATTGTCTCCGTTTTGAAAAGAGAACTATCTTATCTCAGTATAGAAGCCTCACTGTTTTCCAATTGAAAAAGCATAGGGATCAGCATTTTCTCTGCTAGTTTGTGTCGCTGAAAACCATACGTCCAGTGGTG